CAGAAGGCTTTCTTCTTTATGTAAATATTGTACAAAAAATTTAATATTATGAAAACCATGTTTACCATATATACTTCAATAACCCAGTAGCAGCAGTCAAAAGTGAGATTTCATTGCAGAAAAATGTCCTTACAATTCTTGTCTTTTCCATATTATTGTAATAGTTATATTGAAGAAAAGCTAATTTACATAATGTCAATTGTTTGTGTAATTCCAAGCAATAGAGTAATGTCATAAATTTTATTTGAGAGTCAAGTTTCTTTAGGAACCTAGCATACGCTCATACATTTTATGGTGATTTGTTGGGTCCTCCTCTATGTTTTCAATGTGACTTGCACTACAGAACATCATGTTGCATCTACACCTTATGGAACCACAGGCGGCCAGACACCAGCTGCCAGGAGTTCATGAGTGGCTTTTTGGTGACTGTGGGAATGACTTAAATCAGAAAAGAAGAGAAGCAAAGCACAGTGAAAAGCCTCACATTTTCTCCCTTCTGAGTAGACTGGATTAAGTGACCTTATCCATGAAAAGTTGAGAAAATTTTGCTCAGACCAACATTGTGTTTATGATCATTCTCAGCTTGAATTCTTCCTGATCTTGTTAATTTGTTCTTGGGATGAAGGAGATTCAAACTGTTTCACTTGACATAGGAAAAATTTCAAAGATTTTTTCATCAAATGATTTCTTTTCTTCCTTCATTTGTGTCCTTTTACTATAGAAGTCCAACACTGCAACAATCTTTGGAGATTCTTTGAAAGTTACCAGCCTCATAAGTGTACACAGAGAAAAGTTATATTCAAACAATGAATACATACTGCATTGCAATGGTATAGTTATTCTGGAGCAGCATAGGGCAGGAAAACAGAAGATAAAATATCCTTTGCAGTTTCCTATGTTTCTTATAAGTAAAATTTGAGATTGAAATATGGTGAATGTTTAAGTTAAAAATTCATTAGAGTAGCATATAATTGCCATCACTCCCAGTCAAAATCCTCCCCTCCCCTTGAACATGTAGCATCTTGATCTTGGCACTTATTAATGTCGTTCTGGAAGTCCTCTTCATGAGTGGTTTCACCAGATGTGGTGAAATGTGCATGTTGAGAGTTCATGGGCAATGCAATCTAATGGAAAGCAACATTTCTAAAATGTTAGAAAATCTCTTCATCTGCCTTTTGCACTGGCCTAAAACGGTGTGATTTCTGGTTCTTCCCAAAGACAAAAGACTGAGAGAAGCTTTTTGTGGTCACCTGGGAAACTCATATGAGACAAATGATTAAAGCAGGTAATCTCAGACGGGGGAGACAAACATCCCCAGCAATGAAAAGTAAACCACAAAGAGGAATCCCCTTGACTGAATGAAATGCACACTTGTTTGAGAAAGGGCATCAAAGATTCTGATAATGAGCAGCACCCTTGCCTTTCTACCTGTGAACACTCCCCTACGTGTATCTAACATCATGAGGAAAAGCGCGTATTTCAGAGACCACAATGCAGGAAACTGCTCCCAGCATACGCTCTCTCTTCCATGGAAGAGGAAAGCATCCAGGGAGGTAATTGTGGAAAGAGTTCAAGGAGCCATGGGTACAGGCAGTGACACCGGGGGAGGAAGAGGAGGGAGCAACTCTGTGACAGGCACTGCTTCTCCCCATTGCCTCCTGAACACCAAGGTTCTTTGCATGTCTCTGTTTTGTTCTCACTGTTAGTGACTCAGGATCGGTATGGAGAGCTCCGATCCCTAAGCAGAAACCAATTGAGTCCATGAGTTCTAGGAGGGCAGAGCTCTCAGACAGGGGTCGCAGACTGCAGCCCAGAGACAATAGGGAGAAATGAGACACAGCAGAGCCATCCTGAGAAGTCATCTGCAGCTGTGACCATGCACCAAGGAGGCTGAGACAGCTCCTGCTCCTCTTCCAACTGCAATGCTCTGCCTCAATTTGTTCTGTTGTGTGTGGTATTTGCTT